TACCCAGTGAGCATTATTGAGAGGATGAGCTCTTTAAGAGGACTTTTTAAAGACTTAATTAAATTTTCTTAGAAATGATATCAGTAAGTTATCTTTTTTAAGATATCTTTCAGAAGAGCTCTTTATGATATCTCTTCATAGATATCTCTAAAGTCTCTAGCAAGCGTGCCATTTAAGATATTTTACGAACGCCGCACACATGCGCAAGCAACATACGTGTGAACTAGAGACCCTGTGTTCTAGTGAAGTGTGAACTGCGTGTTATTGCGTCCTCTATATTTCGAAGAGATAATATCTTCAATATTAACGTTTTTAAGGTAATCTTTCTTTCTTAAATTATAAATATTATTAAATATGTATTTGAGCATAAAATAGATCAATATTTTCATATATATTTTTGTTATTTTTATATCCAACCTAAGAAGTTGGGTTATGTCTTCAAAAAGTATATGTTGCAAAATTATAATTTTTTTTATTCATAGTCTGGGCATTTTAAAACCTGTTTTAACATCAGAATCGGATAGGATTTAGGATGTCTAATATATATATAGACTACAATAAAAAAGAATTTTTATGATTGCAATATGTGTTTCTTGCAGACATAACTCAACTTCTCTGGTAAGCAGAGCAATATAGAAGCTGCAATATAGAACAAGTATAATAAAATGCCAAAATTATTTTATTTTTTTTTATTGAAATACACATTGTACCACTTTATCCTTGGTACGTACATTATGAGTGTTTTATATATTTGCAATATGTATCATAAAAGTATAAGCGCTTAAAATTTCAAAGTAAGTTCTTCTTAAGCTGGGTACTCACTATGAGTTGCAACATGCAACGCAACAGTATAGCTACGTAATGAGTACGTTTAAATATCCAGATCAAGACGTACTCATTAGGCTGCAACTACTGTTGAATTGCATGTTGCAGGTCATAGTGAGTACTCAGCTTTAGAAGAATTCAAGCTACAATTGTAATTACATATTTGTAAAAATTTATATTTGTAGCTATAATCCTACAATTATTTGCTATGTGGGTGCTTTATTATATGATTGCAATTTTTATTAATTTTTTGTACAGTATATAATATGCTGAAAATAACAAAGAAGCTGATTTATTATTAGCAGAGAAAAAACAATACATGAAATGTGTATGTAAATCTAAAAAGATATTAAAAAAGTTTTTATCAATGTACATTTCTAAAGAGAAAGTATTTTTATG